ATGTCTGTTCATAGGCGCCCCTGGAGCGTTGGGTGGCCCACCTGCGGCCTCGCCGACTGCTCCGACACGAACAGATGGAGCCCGCACCCCGACAGGTATGAAGGCACTCCGATGGGACCTATACTGCGTGGTGTCACCTGCTTCAAGCGGAACTGCCAGACGCATCCACACAGTGCTAATGTTGCTCTAAGGTTTTTTGTGTCTCGATCATGCACTTCTATGCTGATTCATGTCTGTTCATAGGCGCCCCTCGAGCGTTGGGTTCCAGGCTGCCTCTACCAGCGGCCTCACCCACTGCTTTGACGCGGACGAATGGAGCCTGCACCCCGACAGGTATGAAGGCACTCCGATGGGACCTATACTGCGTGGTGTCACCTGCTTCAAGCGGAACTGCCAGACGCATCCACACAGTGCTAATGTTGCTCTAAGGTTTTTTGTGTCTCGATCAGGCACTTCTATGCTGATTCATGTCTGTTCATAGGCGCCCCTGGAGCGTTGGGTGGCCCACCTGCGGCCTCGCCGACTGCTCCGACACGAACAGATGGAGCCCGCACCCCAACAGGTATGAAGGCACTCCGATGGGACCTATACTGCGTGGTGTCACCTGCTTCAAGCGGAACTGCCAGACGCATCCACACAGTGCTAATGTTGCTCTAAGGTTTTTTGTGTCTCGATCAGGCACTTCTATGCTGATTCATGTCTGTTCATAGGCGCCCCTGGAGCGTTGGGTTCCAGGCTGCCTCTACCAGCGGCCTCACCCACTGCTTTGACGCGGACGAATGGAGCCTGCACCCCGACAGGTATGAAGGCACTCCGATGGGACCTATACTGCGTGGTGTCACCTGCTTCAAGCGGAACTGCCAGACGCATCCACACAGTGCTAATGTTGCTCTAAGGTTTTTTGTGTCTCGATCATGCACTTCTATGCTGATTCATGTCTGTTCATAGGCGCCCCTGGAGCGTTGGGTTCCAGGCTGCCTCGACCAGCGGCCTCACCCACTGCTTTGACGCGGACGAATGGAGCCTGCACCCCGACAGGTATGAAGGCACTCCGATGGGACCTATACTGCGTGGTGTCACCTGCTTCAAGCGGAACTGCCAGACGCATCCACACAGTGCTAATGTTGCTCTAAGGTTTTTTGTGTCTAGATCATGCACTTCTATGCTGATTCATGTCTGTTCATAGGCACCCCTGGAGCGTTGGGTTGCCCACCTGCGGCCTCGCCGACCGCTCCGACACGAACAGATGGAGCCCGCACCCCAACAGGTATGAAGGCACTCCGATGGGACCTATACTGCGTGGTGTCACCTGCTTCAAGCGGAACTGCCAGACGCATCCACACAGTGCTAATGTTGCTCTAAGGTTTTTTGTGTCTCGATCAGGCACTTCTATGCTGATTCATGTCTGTTCATAGGCGCCCCTGGAGCGTTGGGTGGCCCACCTGCGGCCTCGCCGACTGCTCCGACACGTACAGATGGAGCCCGCACCCCGACAGGTATGAAGGCACTCCGATGGGACCTATACTGCGTGGTGTCACCTGCTTCAAGCGGAACTGCCAGACGCATCCACACAGTGCTAATGTTGCTCTAAGGTTTTTTGTGTCTCGATCAGGCACTTCTATGCTGATTCATGTCTGTTCATAGGCGCCCCTGGAGCGTTGGGTGGCCCACCTGCGGCCTCGCCGACTGCTCCGACACGAACAGATGGAGCCCGCACCCCAACAGGTATGAAGGCACTCCGATGGGACCTATACTGCGTGGTGTCACCTGCTTCAAGCGGAACTGCCAGACGCATCCACACAGTGCTAATGTTGCTCTAAGGTTTTTTGTGTCTCGATCAGGCACTTCTATGCTGATTCATGTCTGTTCATAGGCACCCCTGGAGCGTTGGGTTGCCCACCTGCGGCCTCGCCGACTGCTCCGACACGAACAGATGGAGCCCGCACCCCAACAGGTATGAAGGCACTCCGATGGGACCTATACTGCGTGGTGTCACCTGCTTCAAGCGGAACTGCCAGACGCATCCACACAGTGCTAATGTTGCTCTAAGGTTTTTTGTGTCTCGATCATGCACTTCTATGCTGATTCATGTCTGTTCATAGGCGCCCCTCGAGCGTTGGGTTCCAGGCTGCCTCTACCAGCGGCCTCACCCACTGCTTTGACGCGGACGAATGGAGCCTGCACCCCGACAGGTATGAAGGCACTCCGATGGGACCTATACTGCGTGGTGTCACCTGCTTCAAGCGGAACTGCCAGACGCATCCACACAGTGCTAATGTTGCTCTAAGGTTTTTTGTGTCTCGATCATGCACTTCTATGCTGATTCATGTCTGTTCATAGGCGCCCCTGGAGCGTTGGGTTCCAGGCTGCCTCGACCAGCGGCCTCACCCACTGCTTTGACGCGGACGAATGGAGCCTGCACCCCGACAGGTATGCAGGCACTCCGATGGGACCTATACTGCGTGGTGTCACCTGCTTCAAGCGGAACTGCCAGACGCATCCACACAGTGCTAATGTTGCTCTAAGGTTTTTTGTGTCTCGATCATGCACTTCTATGCTGATTCATGTCTGTTCATAGGCGCCCCTGGAGCGTTGGGTTCCAGGCTGCCTCGACCAGCGGCCTCACCCACTGCTTTGACGCGGACGAATGGAGCCTGCACCCCGACAGGTATGAAGGCACTCCGATGGGACCTATACTGCGTGGTGTCACCTGCTTCAAGCGGAACTGCCAGACGCATCCACACAGTGCTAATGTTGCTCTAAGGTTTTTTGTGTCTCGATCAGGCACTTCTATGCTGATTCATGTCTGTTCATAGGCGCCCCTGGAGCGTTGGGTGGCCCACCTGCGGCCTCGCCGACTGCTCCGACACGAACAGATGGAGCCCGCACCCCGACAGGTATGAAGGCACTCCGATGGGACCTATACTGCGTGGTGTCACCTGCTTCAAGCGGAACTGCCAGACGCATCCACACAGTGCTAATGTTGCTCTAAGGTTTTTTGTGTCTCGATCATGCACTTCTATGCTGATTCATGTCTGTTCATAGGCGCCCCTCGAGCGTTGGGTTCCAGGCTGCCTCTACCAGCGGCCTCACCCACTGCTTTGACGCGGACGAATGGAGCCTGCACCCCGACAGGTATGCAGGCACTCCGATGGGACCTATACTGCGTGGTGTCACCTGCTTCAAGCGGAACTGCCAGACGCATCTACACAGTGCTAATGTTGCTCTAAGGTTTTTTGTGTCTCGATCATGCACTTCTATGCTGATTCATGTCTGTTCATAGGCGCCCCTGGAGCGTTGGGTTCCAGGCTGCCTCTACCAGCGGCCTCACCCACTGCTTTGACGCGGACGAATGGAGCCTGCACCCCGACAGGTATGAAGGCACTCCGATGGGACCTATACTGCGTGGTGTCACCTGCTTCAAGCGGAACTGCCAGACGCATCCACACAGTGCTAATGTTGCTCTAAGGTTTTTTGTGTCTCGATCATGCACTTCTATGCTGATTCATGTCTGTTCATAGGCGCCCCTGGAGCGTTGGGTTGCCCACCTGCGGCCTCGCCGACCGCTCCGACACGAACAGATGGAGCCCGCACCCCGACAGGTATGAAGGCACTCCGATGGGACCTATACTGCGTGGTGTCACCTGCTTCAAGCGGAACTGCCAGACGCATCCACACTGTGCTAATGTTGCTCTAAGGTTTTTTGTGTCTCGATCATGCACTTCTATGCTGATTCATGTCTGTTCATAGGCGCCCCTGGAGCGTTGGGTTGCCCACCTGCGGCCTCGCCGACCGCTCCGACACGAACAGATGGAGCCCGCACCCCGACAGGTATGAAGGCACTCCGATGGGACCTATACTGCGTGGTGTCACCTGCTTCAAGCGGAACTGCCAGACGCATCTACACAGTGCTAATGTTGCTCTAAGGTTTTTTGTGTCTCGATCATGCACTTCTATGCTGATTCATGTCTGTTCATAGGCGCCCCTGGAGCGTTGGGTTCCAGGCTGCCTCTACCAGCGGCCTCACCCACTGCTTTGACGCGGACGAATGGAGCCTGCACCCCGACAGGTATGAAGGCACTCCGATGGGACCTATACTGCGTGGTGTCACCTGCTTCAAGCGGAACTGCCAGACGCATCCACACAGTGCTAATGTTGCTCTAAGGTTTTTTGTGTCTCGATCATGCACTTCTATGCTGATTCATGTCTGTTCATAGGCGCCCCTGGAGCGTTGGGTTGCCCACCTGCGGCCTCGCCGACCGCTCCGACACGAACAGATGGAGCCCGCACCCCGACAGGTATGAAGGCACTCCGATGGGACCTATACTGCGTGGTGTCACCTGCTTCAAGCGGAACTGCCAGACGCATCCACACTGTGCTAATGTTGCTCTAAGGTTTTTTGTGTCTCGATCATGCACTTCTATGCTGATTCATGTCTGTTCATAGGCGCCCCTCGAGCGTTGGGTTCCAGGCTGGCTCTACCAGCGGCCTCACCCACTGCTTTGACGCTGACGAATGGAGCCTGCACCCCGACAGGTATGCAGGTGCTTCAAGAAAAAAAAAATTGGGTTGTGTGTATGTTTATAAAGTCTAGAACTTGGTCTACCTCAACGGGCGACTTGTCTCCCAGCTGTAGATGAGAAATTTACCCAGTGCAGTACAGCCACTTGCCTGGGGTCCTTAACGAACATCACGCAGTAGTGATGCACGACCGCACGCTGGTACGATGCTCATTCAGATCAAAACAGGCAGGGGTGGGGATAAAACCCAGCATCTTGGGTTCTGCAGCGCGAGCTTTCGCTCCACGTGCTCTGAGCTGGTGTGCGCTAGCCCACTCGGCCACCGATCCCCCCTCAGGTGCTCCAAGCGGGACCTATACTTCGTAGTGTCACCTGCTTCAAGCAGAACCACCAGACGCATGTACACAGTGCTTGTGTTGCTTCTAAAGTTTTCTTGTCGCTCAATCATGCACCTTTACGCTGATTGATATATGTCCATAGGTACGTTTGGTGCGTTGGTTTCCATTCTGCGTCCACCTGTGGCCTCCCCCACCTCTCTGATATGGACTGACGACGCCCGCACCCAGACAGGTATGCAAGCACACCGAAGGGGGACTATACTCTTTTGCGTCACCTGTATCGAGCAAAACCGTCAAAGGCCTCTTCATATTGGCAAAGTGATTGTCACGTTTGACATCTACACAGCGCTTTTGTTGCTACAAAGGTTCCTTTGTTTCTCAATCATTGACTATTTCTGCTTTTCGTTTACTTTACAGCAGCCTTGAGAGCAATGACTGCTGCTAGACATCCTGTGTTTTCAGCATCGTCACATTACGAGACACGGTCCGTGATGACGCAGACAACAGGCTTCGGCAGAAACGCAGGTACGGTCATTCATGTAAACTAAATATACTGACACGAGAATCATTTTAATTCTGTTCGAATTCTACTTGAGCGAGTTAAACTGAGAAGGAGGTGGTGTCAGACATATCTCGATGTTTGAGCTGTGCAGATGTTTGGTATTTGTTAAAGAGAGCTTGGTGTAGTTAGCACACAGAGTTTAAGTCAAAAACCCATTCATTATATTTAAATGGAGCACATTTCTAATGCCTTAGATTTTTTGCTAGGTACACAAGCATGTATACCATCGAGGAACAAGAAAGTGCAGACGGAGCTTTCTGGAATTATGCCGCAGACCTCTTCCTCGTCAAACTGTGGTGATCCAGAACAGAGGTATGCAAAGGTCTTGGGCCTACAATGCCTAGAGCATCTGAACGCCATCTGGCAACAACCTCTCCACCTATTTCTGTGTTAGTTTTAGGAGTTCCCTGAGGCCCTGCAACTCCCAGACATCACTTTGTGACCCCCCTTTTGTGCAGTTCTGATTCAGAAGACCTGGGTGTATCAGGGAAGCAGCCACTGGAAAGAGATGACCCTACGTATTGTCCACCAGAGGACAGCTCTGTTAGGTCCGTATGCAGTCGTGTAAGAATTTATGAGATCATCTATCATGCTTAGACAGTTTGTTGAGATGATGTTGGTTTTTGTGTCGCAGGCTTGAGAGGGAAACACCATCTTTGGTAAAGGAGAGGAAATTCATTGTATTCGAGTCTTGCCTTGACCTTCTCCTGGGGAAGTGCCAAGTATGTGCTGCTCCCCTGATCCACGTGGACAAGAGTGTCGTTGGCTGCAGCCTGCAAGTCTACTCAATTTGTCGGAGTGGACACGTGAATGACTGGTGCAGCCAGCCCATCATCAAGCGGAAGCCGGTGGGGAGTATCCTAATGGCTGCGGCAATCCTGTTCAGTGGCAGCTGCGTAAAGAAGACACTCAGAACACTCACCAGCATGGGGATTGTCTGTTTCTCCTATGGCACCTTCTTCAACATCCAGAAGGCCTTTCTCCTGCCCTCAATCGAAAAGGTACTCTGAAGTTAAAAACTGACAGAAACACCCCCCCCCCCCCCCCCCCCATGTTTTCCCTGTGCTCTTTGCTCCTCGTGACCACAATAAAGTGGGCCTAGAAACTGTTTACTACAGAAACGAGTGGTTTCGTTCCTGGTTTGGAAAGGAGTAACCCATGGCTGAAATTCCTTCTTTCTGCTCGTGTGTTGGTCTTGTAGGCCAAATTTGGTCCTCGAACCATTAAAACACATTCATTAAGACATAATAGTAGATTCTGTAAAGAAAATGTGACCTAATTTAAACTCGGTCTCTGTTTCAAGCCCAGTTGCCTATCCTGTATTTTTCGTAACCAGGTCTGGAACAAGCATCAGAACGAGTTGTTCGCAGCTGCTGCAGGCAGGCACCTCACCATCGCCGCTGACGGGAGAGCAGACTCACCTGGCCACTCGGCCAAGTATGGCTCCTACACGATGCTTGATGCCGATGACAACAAGGTCATTCACGTTGAAACCGTCCAGGTATGTACACAAATTCTATAGGTGCTCCAGATTCTATGCTGCCATAAGCATATAATGTTATACTTGCAACTAGGTAAATATCTGCTGAGCATTTTTTCGGCCATGTAGCTTGTAATTTTTTTAATAATTTGTTATCATCATTACAAAGTGTGGAAATGTGAATTACAAAATCGAGAGATGTGAGTTACACTCATTTCCCTTTACTGTGACTTGGACACAGCAATGGAAAGACACGCACCTCAATGTTCAGACATTGAGGTGTACAAACTGGCATATTTTGTTTCGTTTGTGCTGCTTCATGTTGTCCTCGTTTGTTTCTTTTAGTCCAATGAAACTGGGGGCAGCTATCATATGGAGCTGGAAGGCCTCAAGAGGTCCCTCAGCATTTTTGAGGCCCACTCGTTGATTGTGGCAATCCTGGTAACCGACCGGCATCCCCAGCTCAATGCTTGGCTGGGACGAGAACACTCAGATATCTGCCACCTTTTTGATTGCTGGCATGTGGGGAAGGGTAAGATTTAAAAAGGTTCCATCTATCCCAATGAGACTATCACCAGCTTGGGCAGTGGTCCTGAAGGCAGCCTTTGGGAAAATGTAAACTTCCCCAGCCGTGGGAAGTGTTAAGAGTTGCAAAAGATATAAAATTGAGCTATCTAACTAACTAAAATGGGCTATTTAAATTTCTAATTAGCAATTTTTTGGGCCATGTTGCAATTAGGGTTTTGAAGGCTGCCACCATGGTCATCTAAAGCAATTTACAAAAAGTAAAAAGAAGCAACTGGCTTAGAGATATTCACCGACAGACTTTGCGCTGTAATGGGTATGATTTTCGAAATTTGATATCACTATACGCACCTGTCCTACCATACCCATTACGGCGCAAAGTTTGTTGGTGACTATCTTGAAGCTGGTTGCTTCTTTTTACTTTTTACTTTACTTACTACCATGGTGGTAGCCTTCAAAATTCTTTGTTTTTGTTTTGCCTCTTTGCTTTTCAGATAACCTATTTTCAGTAATTTTTAAAAGCTTTCACTGAAAGACCTGGTATATCTAGACATAAAAATATGAACGGCGTTGTGGCAGCTTCCAGAAAAAGAAGGTCTGCCAGCTTTGGCCACGCTTTGTTGCTGCTGCTAGTAAAAAAGAGATTGAAGTATGCGTGACAGGTTCCAGCTGGCACTGGAGTTTCAAAAGAGCCTGTTGGCTTTCCAAAGGTGCCCTGCATGCATCATGTTTACCTTGTTTACAACATTTCACTTCAGGCATCAAGAAAAAGCTGGCTGCAGCTGCCAAGTCACGGCATTTAGAGGAGCTCGGGTCTTGGACAAGGGCAGTGGTGAACCATCTGTACTGGTGTGCTGGGTCAAGTGTCGACAACCAGGACCTCATCCTGCCAAAATGGAAGTCTCTGGTGGCACACGTAGTGGGTGTGCATACCCACGCTGACCCTCTCTTCCCAGGGTGTGAGCATGAGGAGCTAGAGAAAAAGTGGCTAGCAGAAGGTAAGGACAGATTTTTATTTTTGTGAGGCTTGAAATACGCTTTCTGCATTGCACTATGTCCCACGTTCTTGTTGTAGGGTCCCCTGCGCACCAGAAGCTGGAGGAGATCGTGCTCTCCACTCACCTGCTTCGCGACATTCCTCGACTGTCCACATCGGCGCAGACATTTGCAACAGAGTGCTTTCATAGTACTCTGTTGCAGTTTGCGCCGAAGCAGGTCCACTTCAGCTTCCGAAGCATGAAGGCCAGGTGTGTAAGAAATTTGGTTATTTCCTGTTTAGGTGTTTTTTTGTCATGCATATCTTGTACAGGACCTACCTCGCTGCCCTCCATTACAACGAAAATGCGGGAAGGCCCCAAGCGGTGACCAAGAAAGGAGAGAAGATGTGGGTCATCAAGTATCCAAAAGCAAAGAAAGGACCCACTGTTGCTAAGCGCAAGACTGACTGCACCTATGGTATATGCCCGTGCTCATATTTGTACGTGGCTGGTGCAGATTTTTTAATTGCTTTGAATGTCTCATTACAGAGTATGTGGGGGAGCTCATGGCAGTTGTGCTGCACCTCTGCTCAACGCTGCCATCCTACAAGGCTGCAGCTGCCCTCTGCAACCAGGATGCACCTCCATTTCTTTCTAGTGCGTATCAGCATGGAGATAAACAGGCATTGGTGCAACAGCACTGCTCTAGGTTTACTCGGTAGTCTGATGTAGGCCAAGGTTCCACTTGCTTGATGCAGCTTCTTGCGCTACGCTCCAGCTTTTTCACTTCACCGTGTTTGACCGTTCGGAAAACCTCAGCAAGAATGGGATCCACTGCTGTGTTGTCGGCCAGTTCCTTTTCAGTCATGGGAGGTTTCGTCGGGGCTTCTAACATCAGTACGTTGCCTGAAGGATGTTGCTCATTGTCAGTCTCGGGCAATGGTAGTCTGCCTAAAGCATCAGCGTTTTAATTTCGCTTTCCTGGTCTAGAGATTAGGTTATAATCATAGGCTCCCAGCTTAACACACCAGCATGTCCTACTTGGTGAAAGCACAGTCGGTACTGGGGACTCCTGTCCTATGATGCCCAACAGTGGTTGGTGGTCAGTCGTTATGGTCACGTGATGCGCCGCAACTTAGCGATGAAAACGGTCCATGGCGAATATAATAGCCAGCCTTTTACGATCCAATTGGGAGTAATTCTTTTCACGTGACGCCTTGCGACGTAGTGATGAAAACGGTGTATGGCAAAGATAGTAGCCAGCCCCTCACAATCCAGTTAGAAGAAATCCTTTTCGACCTTAATGAGCATTCTTGATGTAAAGACGATCGGTGTTTTGTTTCTATCTGAATCTAGCTGAGCTAATACTGCCTCGATGCCGTAGAGGGTTGCGTCACATGACACGCTCAAGCTTTTGTTTTTATCGTAGTGTGCGAGAACTGCACGCTGTGCAATAACATACTTTAACTGTCTAAAGGCTCGCCAATTTGTTTCCTGCCATTCACCGGGGACGTCTTTCTCTAGAAATATGTAGAGGTCTTTCGTGATTGTTGCCCTGTTTGCCAAAAACCGATCGAAAAACGCTAGAAGACGAAGAAACGACTGCAGCATTGTTTGGCATGTTGGTTCGGGCATCTCTTTGGTCGCTTTCAGTTTCTCCTCTGTCGGGTGTATCCCGGCAGTATCGATGATGTATCCGAGGTATACAACTTGTTCCACTGCAAAACGTAACTTGCACCTCTTGAGTTGAAGTCCAGCCTGAGCAAGTCGCATCAAAACTGTATCCAGTTGAGTCATGTTCTGCTGCGGTCGTACCGCTGATAGCGTCATCGAGGTATACCCCGATCCGCGGGATTTTAGGTAGTACTGCTTTCATGAATCGATAGAAAATCGCTGGTGTTGGCGGCGATCCCAAATGGCATTCTTTTTACCCTGTAGAGTCCTTTTGCAGTGTTAATGGGTAACACGTCGGCTGTTTCTGTTGTTAACTGTAGTTGTTGATACGCTTGAGCAAGGTCCAGTGTAGAAAATACCAACCTGTTTTGCAGATTGGTTAGGATTTCTGGAATCGTCAGCATAGGGTGCACTGCGGCTTTCGCCTCCTTGTTTACTATACTTCGGTAGTCTCCACATAGCCAAATGGTCCCGCTTTTCTTTCGGACAACTACCACCGGTATAGCCCACTCTAAGTGCTTTGTCGGTTCGAAAATACCTTGGTTCTCGAGAGTTTTCAATTCAACCTCTACTGCGGTACGCAGTGCGAACGGCACGGGCTGTGATTGGAGGGAATTGGCAGTAGCGTCCCCTTTTAAATCAAAGTTTACAGGCGGACCCTTGTGCCCCGTGATCTTCGCATCAGAAACATCCTCATGTACCTTCAAAATGTTCACAATGTTGTTTCTGGTGCCGAGGAGGTGAATTCCACAGACCCTAATCTTCAGCTCTTTGAACCAGTCTCTTCCTGAAGACTGGAACTGGTTCCACGTGTCACTACCAACGACAAGATGTATTGTTTCAATCAATGCCTGACGCAAACATTCGCCTTTCCAAGTACTTGTAAAATTTCTCCTGACCAGGTATGAAGGATTATTCCCTCCTGGTTCAGTGATTGGGGCTTCGTGGGCTACAGAGGACAATACGTGGCTTCATTGATGATTGAGCAAGCATCTGTCGAATTGATCTCAAATTCCAGCTCTCGGTTTTCAATCTCCAGGATGACCTTAGGCAGCATTCAGCTCATGCAGGCTCCATGACTTGTCCGAAAGATCATCATCAGAATCAAGGGTCTCATTGTCCTGTTCCACGTTGTGTGTCATCCACGCTTGGTGCTGCGCCCTTAACTTCTTGAAACAAGCCTTTTTGACATGCCCCTTCTTGGGGCAGAGGTTACATCGTGTATTTTGGAACTTGCACGAGAACGCCGAATGCTGTTCTTGGCATCGGTAGCACGTCTGGGATTCTGACAGTTTGTTTTGTCTTTCCGTTTCCACAATTTCAGCAGTAATATTGCTTTTTTGACAGCTTAAACCTAAGATTTTTGGGTTTTCAAATCTCGTTGATGTTGTGCAGCACTTTCTGTCCGCACGGCCATGTCGTATGCTTTATGAAACGTTAAGTTGGTCCCTGCAAACAGACTCTGTTGTAGATGCTCGTCTCTTATGCCACGAACAAAACAATCTCAGCCTGACGTCGAGAGGTAGCATGGTTGGGTTGAAAACTGGTTGACTCACCGGAACTGAAGTTCCAGTTGCTCCCAAGTTGACGGAACCAGCTGTCGTTCCAGTTGTAGCCAAACCCATGCCTGCGGTACTGGAAGTTGTTGCAGCCGCCTGTGTCACTAGAATCCCAAAGTTACAATCAGCAGCTAGCTTCTTTAGGGCTGTCGTGTAGCTGGAAATTGACTCCCAGGCTGCTGGTCTCTTCGCTGGAACTTCGTTGTGCCGAAGAGCTCCGACGGCTGCGGGTCAAAGCAGCATCACCATGAGTTCACCGAAATTGACACTTCTGGGTGTTCTCGGTGCAGCCAGTGCTCGCACGACTTTGTACGTCTGTGCTCCACAACGTGTAAGCAGTAGGGCCCTTTTCTTTTAAGGATCTGTTATTCTGTTCGCCTTGCAGTAGAAGCTGTCTGGTCGAATTCTTCCAGCTTGCCTTGAGTGGTCATCCCGCTGTAGTTCTTGGACGTTGACCGACCTCGTCGCTAAAATGTAATGTATCCTGGGTAAAGCCCAAGCACAACACCAAGGAGCGTCCAAACGTTGCTTTTTAATGGTGCCTCGAATCCCAATGCCCGTGCACACGTACCGTGCCCCAGGCCCGTGCTTTTGAAGAGCGCTGGTAAGTGCATTTGCCTGGCAACGCTATCTCTTGGCCACCAGCCGATACATGACAGAAGCCAGTTCTTGGCCGACTTGCATCCGAAGATTTTGTTTAAAGGCTCAAAGTTTCAATCTTTGCATGAGGAAAAAGTTGATCGCCACATGCAGTAGTAGAGTAAAAATGTTTCAGGAGCCAAAAGACAAGAAAGGGGGTTATCGGAGGCTGCTGATATTAGCGAGGACAGGGCAGATGGTATAGGAAGGAGGTTGGGTTAAAAAAAAAAATCCCAACTTGCCTCATGAATATGATCAAGAATGGAGAGCAGGAAGTGTTGTTGCTTGTAAGGAGGCCCTCTAGAGGTGGCTCTTTACAGTGCTTGGCTGGTAGTTTGAAGACCATGGCATTCTCAAAGGAGGCATCCGAGACCAATTGGACTACTGGAATTTTTACGGAATTTGCAGACTGGTAGTTGTCCTTCTCAGCTCTACTTTGCTCTTCTCTCGGGTGTGCACGCCATATCCTCTGCGATTCTTCTCAGTAGTACCCTTGCTTGTCTCCCAAGCCACCTGGGAACGGGCCCATTCATTGGGAATGAGACCATTGGAGACGGAGTTTGCTCTCCGCTTGGTCATTACGATTTTCATCCTCATCTGCTGCTTGGTCATCTGGTGGTGAGCAGTCATAATCCTGCAGATGGTGAAAGCCGTGGTGTATCCTATGACGATGATACAAAAACTAACTAATTTGCAAAATGGGTTGGTATTTTTTACACTGGACCTTACTCAAGCATATGAACTACAGTTGCCAGCTGCATTTTTGTGCCTTGCTTGAAGAATTGATCACCACAAGTGTTACAAATCTGGTTTAGACAGTGATTTCCAAGGTGACTACGTATCAGCTGTTTAATAACAAATGTAAATTTTCTTACATTCATTGGCAAAGAACCACCGCCTTTTCCCACCTCTTTGTTTTGTCCTTCCAGCGAGCAACACTTGCAACTTCATTTTGGTCAATCAACCGTTTGAACCCAATGACTGCCTCGGAATTCTCGAGTTTCAGGTGCTACTGTGACACTTTGTTTTATGTTAGTCTGCCTTTTCTGTGGACAAATGCAGCTTTGCTTTGAATGGAAGCTCATATGCAGGATATATGCACCAATTTTGCTGGAGGCTCAAGTTCTTGCTACAAAGATATACGAGAATTTGGAATTACCATACATGTATTTGTCTACACCTTCGACTTGGTTGCCGGTGTTGCACCATGCACACGGTGCAGTGCGGTTAATGCGAATAAGCTATCGCTAGTTTTTAACTTCTACTTTTGCAAATCAAATGTTTATCACTAAAACCACTTATGCAGTAAATAGGAGCGACTTACCATAATATACCAAGAGACAGCCCACGTAAAACTGAGAGCATATTAGGCGAAAATACAGGGTGGACTAACTTTCAGCGTGCAAAATTGAGTTCAACTAAAGCCATTAGGATAATAAGAAGTTATGCTGAAAATCAGGGTGGGCTATCTTTTGGGGATGGGTCTTCTCTTGAGATATTATGGCAGATGATAAAACTTAGCTTCTCCCTCTTCACTGCCTGAACAGTCTGAAAAAGAACAGGTGAAGTTCCGCTCTGTTGAATGAAAAATGCATTATAATCAGGAAAACTTAACTGTTCACGTTATCGTACCTACTAGTCATTAACGACCTCGCAAGCCATTCTTAGGTTCATAGGTTGCAACCTATTGCTAAACTTACGAGCCTAGAGCTTGGTGACATTTGCTGTCTTTTATTGATGAAGGTGTCTTTGAAGGGCTGGACAAAACATGCCGTAAACGAGTCCTTCAGGTGGCCAATACTTTTTTTATTTTTTGAACCCCCTGTATGTCCCATCTGTGGACGGGAATTCTTGCCGAATCTGACAGACGACGCAGCTGGGCAGCACCACTCGGTTTCCCCGCCCCAGCCTCTTGTGCACCCACCAGGTGAACTGGTGGTATGCCGTGTAGCGGTACTTCCTGTAATGAGATGAGATGGCAGAAACCAGCGTTGAACTCTGAGCAAAGAGGGAAAAGCTAATCACTATTTGCTTCTGACCTTTTCTACTATGCGTTTGTATAGTGTCAACAATCTCCAATGACATCTCGCAGTTTACATCATTACTGTCCTGTAGCATGGGGAACTTCTAACAACATTTTGTATGCAGAAGGATTTTAATTATATTTAATACTGCTTGAACAAGTGTATCTTCACTGTTTGTTGGCATTGAGTTTTTCGGGCTTTTCATTGCAGTATCGATATTTATGTTGTGGTCTATAGACAATTGTGCGGTTTCACGGTAACGAGATTGTCATTGTAGGAAAGAGCAATAAACTTTTTTTGGTGGAATTCTGAAAGCATGGGTACTCTCTCTAATTATTCTGAAATGATGTCTGACCCTGTTTATTTACATGCACAGTGTGGCAGTTAACAGATAAATGATGTCTGACCCTGTTTATTTACATGCACAGTGTGGTAGTTAACAGATAAATGATGTCTGATTCTGTTTATTTGCATGCACAGTGTTGCAGTTACCAGATAAGCACACTGCTGTTATTCTTTTTTTTTTTCTTGAAAGGTGTGCGAGTACCTAATCGTAGTAGCTAAATCGAATTAAGAACCGATCATCGAATAGAAGACCATGTGTATGTAACAAGCTCAAATACAAGTTCCTGTGCAGTACCAGCTGCTGAACATTATTGGTGGTCAGTCATGCTAATTGGGCCATAACAATGTGGCCACTGAAATAAAATTGCCTATCACATTTTTTTTCTTGTAACACATTGTGCTTTCCAACTATGTTTTCATTTTAAACGCTCCAGTGCCCCCTAAAATTGGTATCCGTTAGTGGCACAAAAGCTTGCTTTTAATTTATCTTTACCCTGTCGCACTACACCAGGGTGGACCGGTAAAATTAAAATGTATTTTGCATATTTGGAAGTTCAATACAACAGCCTGCTAGAATGGAGGGAAGGAAAAAGTATTTCGCTTGTGCTGCACCAACCACATCTTTCGCAATACCTAATATGAGAAATCAGATTTGCAAATAGAATTATTTGAGAGCTTCATGTTCGATTCATATTCAAATATTTGCACACCGTATAAATTTCTTGTTCTTAGGAGAATAATGACATTTATCAATATTACTAGTGTGGTGAAATGACCACATATCAAGATTTTGATTTTAGAGACAGGATTTTTCATAATGCCTGAAAAAAGCATGACACCAACGCTGTGTTTGTAGCTGTAAACACGAATATTTGGAGTGGAAGCCAGCCGTAACAACTAGAATGACTGCAATAAGCTGCAGGGGTGTAATCAACAAGGGGGGGGGGTCTACAGCCCCCCCCCCAAATATTTAGCTGACACTATAATATACACATGCATTTTGAACCCCCTCCCCCTCTCCGCACCCCAAGTCGTGGACATCCCGGCCACCTTGGCCCCGACCCCGAAAAAAAATTCCTGGCTACACCACTGATCAGTTGAATATACATACTCCTCTTGGGTCCGGTTCCCCGCATCCAAAGGGCAGAAGTATTGCATTGTGACATACGCCAGGTCCAGCACTGGCCTGTTCAGGCAGTAGAGCTCGAACCAGGGGTGCTTGGTGATACAGGACACCCCCTGGTCCTGGCAGAGCTCTCTTGCACGGTCAACCTCTCGGCAGCACAGGGACTTGTAGTCCGTCAGCATCGCTCTGCAGCCGTTGCAAGAGCACCTGTTGGGACAAATTTTGCTCAATGAATGAATGCCGGAAATACAAGGGCACTACGAAACTTTACTCGATGTTTTCTAAGGTGTTTGCAACATCTACCTCATCCATAAAACTTTGATAATGGCAGTTTTCGGTGCCGAAAACTGCCATTATTATCACTCGCGCGTTGGAGCCTGTCGGGCTGAGGCGACCACACGCCGGCAATCGCCACAGCGTATCTATGTTTTGCAAAAGGTAGAGTGCGCATGCATAGCCTTGATCGGCACCAAGAAGATGGAGGCATATCCTGATATCATAGCAACATCCCGCCGTTTCAATACATGCCGCGCCTGCCAATCGCGAAAATATGTACGAAATAAAAATGAAATATTTCTTGATCGCGAATGAAATAGAAAACTTACCAATTCGCGGAGCCCACACGACGGGCTGGTGGTGGCGTGTCCGGCCCGTCCCCGTCGCCTTCAGATGAAGACGACGCAGATGGGTCGTAAATGTACGGCTGTAAGCCGAATCGGCGATCTTTCACCATCGCAGAAGCGATGTCTTCGTCCTCGCTGGTGTCGCTAAGTTTTCTGTTTCCGCGACACGCCATCGCGACACAAAGCACGAACCGACTACCGTGTTTGGCACGGGATTAGTGGGTTCACGGACACTGGGATCACAGGGTGGCCGTGTTTGCCGGGTTGTGACTTGTGAGGCCGTTCAGACCGCAGGCAGGTCAAACGTATAGGTTGTAACATAACTTTACTCGTGAACGCCACCAAGTGACGAAATTCATAATCACGTCAGCCTCGCCGCAGCTTTCCTCCAATCGTTGATTGAGACGTCCTACGTCATGACTGCGCCGGATGTGACGTGGCCTCCGCTGGCTGTTCTCCGACTGCTTGCCAGAGTGGGCCGTTTAGAACGAAAAATACAGCCATCTGCTCAAAATACGGACGTGCGGTTGTCATTTTCGAGTATTGTGGATCATAGTCGACCTATTTCTGTACACGGCGGGTAAAATTCAAATTTCGTTGAAGTATCCCTTTAAACTGTCCTGCTGCAATGTGCACTATCACATATACATTCAAGATACACAAACTTTATACGCATATGACTGATACCTCTTCATCTTCAGGAATTCATATTCCGTTTCTATACATCATTGAATCTTTCAGACCTTTAAGTAGAGTATCATCCACTTCAGAAGAACTCCATGGCTATAAGAAGTCACTTTAACACATTTCGGCTTCCAGTCTCCAACAAAAATGGGTGGTGCTTTCAGACTCGCAAGCTGCACTGCAATGCTTGAAAAACCCTTTTTACACAACAGCAAATCAAGCCTTAGTTTCTGAACTTTTATATCTCCATGCGACAGCAATAGTCAATAGGCAGCACACTGTATATCAGTGGATACAAGGACACTGCGATCTCCCTGGAAATAAAGCAGCAGATGCTGCTGCCACAAGCGGACACGATATGGAGTCCGGTGAGGATGTACCTTTCACAAAAGCAGACTGCTACCGACTTGTTAATACACTAAGTGAGGATCACTTTCTTCGGACTTGGACATCGCCTGAAAATCATCGCGCTTACTCCCACCGCTATGATCCTTGTTTACCACACTTCTTTCTGAAAGACCTTCTAAGGAAACTAGAAACGTTACTACATCAGATAAAAATCAACGCGGCCAACACAAATCACCGCAAGTTCACATTTGGAATTACAGCTATCCCCTACTGCAGTGCATGTGGAAAATCTGAAGGCGTTAAACATATCATTTCCGAATGCCCGCTCTACAACACAGAGCATGCAGATCTTCTCATTCCCCTATTAAGTTCCTAGACCGCCAACCTAAACATATCTCATATACTAGGTCCCTGGATGTGGCCAGGCGAACAACGCGAGGCTGTGAAAATGTAATTAAACATAAGGAAGATGCATAGAAAGGGGGGACGGACAATGCTTTTCATATTTTTGGATAGCACGGGCTCGGTGAAGAAACTTTAGTGTTAAATATTTGTTTTAACAATCTCCTTAAATTAATTGAAAAGGTTCCAACCAATGCAAGACTACCATTCTCCACCTGAACTTTCTTTGTGTTGGATTGTGACCACGTCCGTGTTTTAAACTAATCGTGACTTTGACTGTGTTTGCGTACGCGTTGGTGTCTGTGATTGTGCAGGATTCTTATACAGAGACAATTGAACATAGTTACAACTAGCAACTCTGGTACGCAATCTGTGTTATCACAATCGTGCCAAAGTGTATGTGATTTTTTTTACTCCTTTCCCCTTCCTCTCCCCAACAAAGTAGCCATGTCAAGCATACGCCTTGGCTTATCTCTTCGTTTTTCTCCATTTGTTCCGAATAAAAAAGATTAAAAAAACTCATATTGGCTCTTGAAGTCACGTGACACACGCCAGCAGCGGTTCCGAGTCTCGTGGATACCACCAGCCCCCCCCCCCCCCCTTTCCCCCCTCACCGCTCTATGTGGAGCAGACAACGCCACTACGCCTGCTGTCCGCCCGCCAACCGCCCACTTCTATCACTACGACACCGTGTCCAAAGGTACGCGCGAGCTATATCCTCCATGACTCTGACAAACTTGAAGGCGGTCTATGGTCCAACAGCAGGTAACACGCACGCAGCTTGCAAAGTGCGGCTAGCGTTCTACACTCTTACAAAAAAGGGTATCGATAGTCCTCCCTTAGGGGGAGGAACGGTCTTGAAACCTATGCTACTTTAGAAAAGGAGAAACTTTCGTCCCTGAAGCAGGGGAGCAACTAGTACCTCCGTCGCCTGCATCTCAATATGGCGGCCCTGAATCGAGCAAATCAAGCTTAATAACGCGTAACGAGGACGCTACGTATCTTGTACGGGACGAGAGGAGCAGCAAATAAAAGCGTAACACAAGCTTTCCGCGAACTGTGTTTATTTCCGAAGCTAGATTCCCCCCACAGGTACAGAAACTTGCGTTTCGAAAGCAGTTACTCAGTCTTCTCGTCGACAGCACTGCGATGTTAAACGAAGACAACCGATACTCAGTTACTTCGCGCAGTTTGCGTGTTACCTTTGGTGTTTCTCGAGTCACAATTCCTTCGTCAAGCGCACATCACGGAGGAATGGCAAACTAAATCCGCGAAACCAAAAGCCGCTCTCAAAAGAACAAACTCGAAGCCGCTGTTTATCGCGTAGCGTGAAAGAAGGTTAAATCGCTGGCCGCCAGATGGCAGGGTCAAGCAGAGTAATTGCAACTAGCTAGGCTAGGTGGCGCTAGGTACTGCACCATTCATGTTCTACAAAGAAATATTTTTCTTTCCTCAGGCCACTACTGCGCTTCGGGAACCTCTACTATACACACATTACGCATACACAAGCATCAGGTGAACCATAATGTATACAGATACATTATGGCCCAGCAGCAGGTAACACGCACCGTCCTGCTCGCAGATACATTGCACATACAAACGTCAATACAAGGGCACACTTACCCCAACGCTACACCTGAACCCTGCGTTTCCGTCTTTTATACTGGTTGTTTTGAACGTACGGAATTTCTCGATGACTGAATAAAAATAAAAAAAATATTCCCAGGATGTTTATTTTTTTCCAGCAATGTCATACCTCTGAGAGTATTTTAAATGGCTCAGGGGATGAATCTCTTACTAAAAAGGAAACGCTCGATCATGCCGTAATTATTTGAAAGCCAATAAATCAAGTCGCTCGAATGCGGTTCGAAGCCATGAGTTTGTTTCCCGGCACGGTCGTCGCAGCCTGTATTTCTATTGTAGTGTTAGCTTTTTCTATTTGTGCTGTTCGCGCAAGGCTGCAATTGCCGTCTTGAATTAATCTCTGAAGGGCGGATATTCACTCAGCTGGAAGTGATGCTTCACGCGCTGAGAAATCGCTTTTCGATCAACTTGAATGCAGTCAAAGCCGCGACTTGCGACAGGTGTTAAGCATCCCGCCTTTTTCAAGAATGGTCAAGGACCGCTGCCCAGGTTACTGAGTTTCTTTGGACCCAGGTGCGCCTTACACTTCCTCCCAAGAAGAGGACTAAGGCCAAAGAAGGTAACGTTGTCATCTTCGGGGATCTTCAAGTCCCAGACAGTCACCTAAAGATTTTGAAAAAAGGACCTAAGTTCTGCCTCGAGCCCGTGCTCAGAAAAGTAGACAAGTTGGTCATGTCGAGATCCATCTCACGAGCAATACCGGAAGAGTACAGACCAAGGTGCGTTGCTGATGGTGTAGACGTCCTATGGAGGTCCGAAGGAGGGTGCCGAAGAACCAAAGGCTTCGAGCCCGTGATGGACTTTCTCGCGTCCAACAGCATGAACATAATGTTGTCCGACAAAGAAGGGTGTTTTGTCATCATACCCGACGGCACGTTCTCCGAGAAAGCGACAACAGCCGTACTAAAATACTTTAGAGCGGTCTCCGATCGTCCCGCCAAGGTGAAGGAATGCACCATCAAATTTCTTCACCAACTGAACCTGACCAGTGTTGCTGCAGGAGCAAAGAAAGGAAAAAAACCTCACGTTAGACGAATATTTCGCGGCAAAAACCCATAAGCCAGGAGTCCCCTTTCGCACCATAGTGTCCGAGTGGAATTCTTGGTTGCACGCAATTTCGGGCTTTTTGCAAAGGCACCTCGACTCCCTACATATTGTAGACCCCATGTGCGTCCCCAATTCCAAGGCGGTTGTTGACTTTCTAAAAGTCAGTAACCCACACGGGTGCAGCGCGTTGAGCATCGACGTTGAAGAATTATATTAGTCCATGCCACACGACGACCTCGTGGTTAGTGTCAAGGAGTGTATCACAGAACACAACGACGAAAGCGCCTTCAGGACGCGATGCGGGATTACGGTAGAAGACTTTCTCGAACTCCTGTCCGTTTATTTAAAGTCCACACTCATGGGATGGCAGGACAAGGTGTACATACAGAAGTCCGGCGTATGGATAGGGTCTAGGGTAGCCCCTGTGCTCAGTAACATCCTCCTAGGCAAGATCGATCGGGATCTAGAACCCTGCTTGGAGAAAAACACCAAGAAAGTGTTTAGGTACGTAGACGATTATTTGGTGTTCGTTGAGAGGGCTAATTTCCATCAGCAGCTTGACGATGTGCTGAAGATCTTCACGGAAAAAGGGCTAGGACTTCACTTCACCTATTAAGCCCCAAAACAGAACCTCATTCAGTTCCTGGATCTCTGCATCGAAGTGGGGGACGATCATGTTTGCTGGTGTTACAGTCCCAGAACAGCGAAGGCTCCTCTTAACTTTTAATCAGCCCACTCCAAACTCGTCAAACAAGGCATCGCATTTTCCTGTCTGAGGACTGCTCTAACAAGCACATGCATCCACAATTTGAGTTCCAGCTCCATGTCCCAAATTCAACGGCTCAAGGATTCGGGATATCCTAATTCGGTCATTTCTTCAGCTTGCGAAAAAAATCGTGAAACACCTTAAAACAGATATCGCGATCGAGCAACGTGACCTCGAGCAGAAAGAGAAAAAGAAAACCTCAGTCATACCGTACATCCACCGCCTTTCCCACGGACTCAAGAAAGTCGCCTCAAGATACAACGTGAATGTTGTTTTTTCCGCCCGCCATAAGCTCAGCTCTGTGTGCTCCGCAGTCAACAAACGCGCGAGAAATAACGATCCTAAGTCTCACAGCGGCTGCAGCATCAAACACGGAATGCAGTTTGTCGCCTGCATAGAAGGCGTGGTCTACAAGATTCCGTTTTCCTGCGGGCGTGCCTACATAGGACAGACTGGGCGTTGCCTCAACATAAGACTACGAGAACACCACAGTTCTATGAAAGGAACCGCTCACACGCATCTCGCGATGCATTGCCGGGATGGCGGATGCCAACCCCTTTTTAAGAAGACTACAGTGATGTTCCGACACAACCACAAACTACCTCGAGAAATGATGGAGACGTACCATATAACACAAACCGGATCCTTGTGTGTGAGCCAGCCCACAGTGACTTTGATGAAGAGCGAGATCGGCTTTTTGGATCTTGGATAACTTGG